GTAGACCAGGCTGTCCTCAGATTCAGGGCAATCCTCCTGCATCAGCCTCCCAAGTCCTGGGATTGCTACTGCAAGCTATGACACCTAAGCACAGATGCTTTCTTAAATCCCAATCGGTCCAGCGTGGTGGCGCACGCCTCTAATGCCAGCACTCAGAAGGGCAATGGCAGGCAGATCTTGGGTTCAAGGCCAGCCTGGTCTACATGGCCAGTTCCAGGACTGCTGTGCTCCTGGAAAGCAAGTAAGAAATCCCGGAACTGTGTTAACCCTGTCGCCGACTCTTTCCTGGAGAGACAGACTCATAATAGAGGGAGATCCGTCAGCTCAAGAAAAGGTGCAGAAGTTGCCACCGGTCGCAGATTGGCCGCTTTGAAATCTTTCTGGAGCCCACAAATGACCCCTCCCTGCAAACTGGGCACCAACCACAAGCCCAAGCATGATTACGTGGAAAGTCCAGTTTGGGGAAACAATGAGTTTACCGGCTCACTTACTTATGTAAGGGGTTACTTAACAGGAGCATCGCTCTCTCGAAGCAACTGCACTACCTTCACCTCTCAGCTCAGCAAGCGCCACGAGTTCCGGAAACCTTCCACACACTACATAGGCTTATGTCCTCCAGAGAGCGCAAGGGCCACGCGCATTTAGGGCAGAATTACACGTAGCTGCTGAGAAGTGCAGGCAAGAGTGGCTGGAATCTCCCGTGGGCCCCGCCCCTTCCTCCCGCGAGGAAAGGTCAGTGATCGCAAGACCCCATATTGATGGTCCTTGGGAACAGTCGCAGGTGCTCTGATGAAGACTGTGGCTGTTAGCTCCGAGGACACCCCAAAAAGTCAGGTGTTCCCGGATGGGGGGGGGTGCTTGGGGTGTGGCAGAAGATGCCGCAGTCTGCTCTATCTTGAGGGAGGAGCCTGATCTTTTCCAAAACTAAAAGGAAGTTTCCTTTGCGTTGGTGATGAGTCTGGTAATTATCAAAGACGTGATGATAATCAGGTTTGAGATTTTGCTTAAAAATGACTAGTGCAACCAAGTATTTACATTTCAAGCGTTTACCCATTTTTTTTTTTTTTTTTTTTTTTGGTTTTTCGAGACAGGGTTTCTCTGTGGCTTTGGAGGCTGTCCTGGAACTCGCTTGGTAGTCCAGGCTGGTCTCGAACTCACAGAGATCCGCCTGCCTCTGCCTCCTGAGTGCTGGGATTAAAGGCGTGCGCCACCAATGCCCGGCGATATGAACATGTTCTAACGACTTGACTGCCACAGGCTCCCATGCTGGGATTGCGAACATGCATCCTGGAAAGGCAGTTCTTCTTAAATCTCTTTCAGGTGTATCTTGAAAGAGCCTACCTGTTTTCACAAAGAAAATAAAAAGGTAACCTGTTAAGAGTGGGTGGGTACTCCTGGGAGCTGGCAAGATAGCTGCTCTTCCAGAGGACTTGAGTTTTAATTCCCAGTATCCATACTGAGGCTTGTGACTGCCTGTAACTGCTGCTCCCCAGGAATCCAGTGCCCTCCTCTTTAACCTCCAAAGGCACAACCCATAACGGCAAACACGTGTACATATACATAAATAAAAATTGAAAGTTAAATCGGGAGAAAGTAAAGTTGCTTTTCAAGAGTAGGGACAAATTTTAAACAGGCAAAATTATAACAAGTGTAAACAGAAAATCTGAATCACTGCAAAAAAAAGTCCACGAAGTCATATCATGGTGTTCTAGATAATAATATTAAAAAAGCCTAAGGAAGGAACACTCATACAAAAACCTACTAAACATAATAAACCAGGATGCAGTGTTGTAAAACACAAGATTTATATCCAAAAAGCATTTTATATGCTAGCAATTGAGCATTCCAAAACAAATTAAAAAAACAATTCAATCTACAGTAACATCAAAAAGAATGCAACGGTTATGACTATAACAAATCCAAGACTTGTACATTAAAAACTAGGACATGTAATTGAAAGACAGCGCAGAGACGCTTGCTGTGACAACGGATTACAAGATATATTGTTAAAATGAAAGCAAAGTGTGGTGGCATGTGCCTATAACCCCAGCATCCAGGAGGCTGAGGCAGGATTATATATCTAAGACCAGCCTAGATGAAGTATGTCCTAGGCCAATAGGGAGACCTTCTCTCAAACAGTAAATTGTTAAAAATGAAAACAGCCCCCAAATTAACCTACGCACACACAGTCTGTATCAAAGTTCCAGTTGTTTTTTACAGCTGTGAAGGTGACCACAAAAAGTCCCATGGGAATGCAAGGAACTTAGACTATCCAACCCAGCCATAAGTGTAAAAACCGGACTACGTAGTTTTTGCCATAGGACAGAAATCTAGAACCAGTGAGATACTGATGTTTCCAAAATGATTCCAAAATGAACAAAGTACATTATGGGCAGAAGTGCTATGACCTCTTCTGGATGGGCAATGTTCTTATTAACTACTGGTGCTGAGGCAACTTTGCTAGGCTCATGCAAAATAGCGAATCCACACCTGTGTGTCAAACAGTATCTAAGTACGTGTTATAGGGTAACTCGAAGATGTGAATAAAGGCTAAAATTACGAAGCCCTTGGAACGGAGGCACAAACTTTTGTGATCTCGAGTGAGACATCGGGTTCATCCAGCAGGACAAGCCAGAGAAAATAGATAAATTGGATTTCATCTGAATTGCAAGCTTGTGTGTTTCAAAGGACGGATTGCACAGGACTGGCCTCCAAGCCAGGAGTTTGCTGTACCTGCTCACCAGAGACAAGCACAACTGGGCTTATTGACCCCCCCACTCACCCCCCTGCCCCCTACCCTACCCCCATGTTCTCTTTTGGATGGGCCGGGGAGGATGTGGGGCCTGCACTTGAGAGTGCAGCCACCTCCTAGCCCTTGTTTACAATTCTGACCTAACTGCAAGTAGTCTCCGGGGGCTCTGGGAAGGGCTAGAGAGATGGGGGAAGTCCTTCTGTGTATATGTTGTCCTATTGGTTGATTAAATAAAGCACTGTTGGCCAATAGGGAAGCAAGATAGGTGGGTCTAGGAGGATTCTGGGAAATGTAGTCAAGAGTAGAAAGTCGCCCTGAGATCCCGGGAAGAGAGGTCGCAGGTCTGGCATTCTTGGTAAGATAAGACCTTATAAAAAATATGTATTAGTAATTATGGGTTAATAATTAAGACAGAGCTGGCCATTAAGAAGCCATAGCAAATGGCCAACTGCTTTGTAATTAATATAGTTTCTCTTGTGTTATTTGGGGGCAGAGAGAGCAGCGACGGGACCCAGGCAGGGATCCCACAACACTAGAGGATGTGGGTGGGAAGGCTTAGGGGAGGGGACTCCATCTACAAAGCTGTGGCAGTTATTATCCATGCTGGGAACTGACCTTCCATGGGGCTGCTTTAAATCGTCACACACCTGCCACAGTCTCCTGCCCGTCGCTCTGGAAGTGAGCCTTCTGAGCTCCCTGGTTCCCCCAGTGAGTTTGTCACTGGGACTGTGGAAGGAAGAGGTTGGGCAGCTACCCGAGGGAAAGAATTGTAGGACCAGGGCACTCTCAAGAAAGTGAAAGGGAAATATTTTGTAAGCCACACACAATGGGCCAGTGTTCTGATTTTATAGAGCACTCATAAGTCAATGATATAAAGTAATTCGATTTTAAAATGAACCGATGACCCAACTATATATTTCCCCAGGTATACAAATGTTCCGAAGCACATGAAAAGACCCCAAAAAACATTACCCATTTGGAAAATTAGTATCTTCGTAGATTTGTGGGTGGTTGGTATTGTAAAATAAAACAATTGTTTGGAAAACAGTTTGGGGTACCTAATGTTTATAGAAGTAGCATCATTCATTCTAGCCAAAAACTGCAATGAACTCAAATCCCATCATTGATGAGCAGATAAGCAAAATGTGTTATACCTACACAGACAGATACTATTCAGCCATAAGTAAGGACATATACTGCTTCATGTTATAACATATATGAGCCTCAAAAACACAATGTTGAGAATAAGCAATCAGATGCAAAAGCCATGTAACATGTGACTTTGTGTGTACCAAGTTGCCAATGCAAAAAGAAAAAAAAACCCCACAGCTCTCTAAAGGGAATAAAAGATAGTTTATCCTAGGGCCAAGTTTGAGTGACCGTGGCCTGGGAATTTAGGTTCCCCCAAATTCCATGGTCCCATATGGAAGCAGTTTTATGAAGTTGTATAGTTTTACAGGACCAAGAAAGCCATAAATCAAGACGGGTTAAAATACATCGGTGGGTGTCATCGCTCTAGAGGCAGTGGGACCTGGTGGACTAAAGTCTCATGTAATAGTCAGTCAGCTTTATTCAGAGCTTCCGTCAATGTATGCTCCTGAGGGTTAAGAAAGGTCACCTGAGTAGAGCTTACAGTCACGAGGACAAGCTGCTCATGGCGGAGACATGTTTTTTGCATACAGGCATTTAAACAACAACAGCCGGCTGTAACAGATCATCTGAAGTAAACTCACTCCTATCTCTCTACACCTGGGTGTTAGGATAAAACTCGAAGGGAACCTTACATGGGGGACCCTTGTTGGATTCCATGGCGGGCAAGGGTGACCCAGGCGGAGGGAAATACACTCCAGAACACTCCAGGCAGACAGAGCTTAAGTGAGAAGTTTTATTAGAAAAGGGAGGAAAAAGGCCGGGAGGTGGTGCCTCACGCCCTTTAATCCCAGCTGCTGACTCCGGAGGAGGCAGAGGCAGGCAGATCTCTGTGGGTTCAAGATCCGCCTGGTCTATAAGAGCTAGCTCCAGGACAGCCTCCAAAACAATGCAGAGAAACCCTGTCTCGAAAAACCAAAAATAATAAATAGATTAATTAATTAACTAATAAGAAAGGGCAGGAAAGGGGGAAGGAGAGAGAAAGAGGTAAAGAGACAGAGAGAGAGAGAAGAGGGAGCAGGAAAAATCCTGTCTGCCCCAGGGGAACCGAGGGGAAGGGGGAAGTTGGGGAAAGAGAGAGCAGAAAGAGAGAGTAAGTGGGCTTGAGATCTTTTAGAGGGGTCCTTTGCACCAGGGCTGACCAGGGTGCTGCCTGAGTGCATTCTGCCAGGTGACAGGGGCAGGCCAGCCTAACACCTGAATCCTTACACCTAGGAAGGGCATTGGAAACACATTCCAAGAACGGTTGTTTTGAAAAAACTGTGATCACAAGACTCGTCCCGTTTCCTTGGAGTTTCCTCACAAGCACTCGGAATTCTGCTCACACGACCCATTCTTGGACCACGCCCTAGCAGGTGGGTGATACCCCAGAGGGGCGATTAGAAGAGAAAGGTGCAGAAGCTTTCTTTATAGGCCTCGGGGGCTCTCTGATGACACCCTTAGCTTCGAGGTCGGTGGAAGCCAGCGATCTGCTGAGTTAATGCGTTCCGAAAGGTTTTCACCTGTTAGTCACCGGATGTTAGTTTTGACACAGAAGAGGGCGGGGAAAGCTAGCTGAGATGTAGCTACTAGCTCTGGACCTGCGGGGTCCCAACCCGTCCACATCACCGCCGCTGCCTTTGCAGAATCTGTCCAGGAATTCTCGTTCACAAAACGTCCAGGACCGTCCGGAACCGTAAGAAGCAAATCTGTAGCGTCAGAAACTAAGTTTGTGGTTGCCAGGGGCCGAGGAGAGATTCGTGGAGAAAGCCTGCGAAAGAACACAATTTTTTTTTCATATTGTAAAGAGAATGGCCCGGAACTAAGCATGCCCTGAGCGATAGATGCAGAGTCGGAACAAGTTAGAGGGCACCGCGTTGATTTTGAACCTGGCTGTGTAAGCTGGGGAACCCACTGCCAGGTTTTGAACCCAGGAAATACGTCAGTAGTCAGGAGATCTACGCCATCCCTGCTTCTTTTCCTCGATGCACAGACAGAACTTCTAGCCTCCCTCGTGGCGGGCTAGGATTGTGCAACAAGACCCGGTTAACAGAAGCAGATTGAGGTGTGCCATGATATTTTTTTTTATATTTTAAATGCCTGACCATAAAGCTCCCTGCATGATCCAGCAGCCGGGCTCTTCCCTTTGCCCCAGTAACCATGGGAACCAGACGTGAAGGTGCCTGCGCCTATGAGTCATCCCTTACAGAAGAGCGCCCACACGTGTAGTGTGTTCATATTGGGTTGGTATCATCAAAGATGCAGCTGCATGTTGAGTCCAGAGGTTGGAGGTGGTTATAGCTGTGTTAGGCCGAGGCAAGGGAGAGGGAAACGGATGCCGGTCCAAAGCAAATGGGCACTGCATCTCTTTACTAACTGGTTTGCAAAGCGTAGCTTCCCAAGCTAGGTGTGCTTTGTACACTGTAGTCTGAGCGGGAGAATGGTAAGTTAAATAAATGTAAGCCGAGCTACAGAGAGAGACCGTGTCTGTGGTAACAGAAATACTTTCCACATGTCTGAAAGCCTGCTTGGAGACTAGTGTGGAAGACAAGCATACAGTAAGACCCCATGTGGAGGAGTAACGGCTGACTAAGTAGAGATGAGCCATGAGTGGCCAGCATCACAGAGAGGACTGTCACTGTGTCACTGAGCACAGTCCTGTAACCAGTATCCTCAAAGGTACAGCACAGAGGACCTGGGGTAAAACGAGTTTGAAAGATGATATATAGAGAATGCCATCAGCGGCAGGCATGGTGTTGCAGATCTTCAATCCCAACACAGGGGAGGCAGGGGGAAGCGGATCTCTGTGAGTTTGAGGTCAGCCTGGTCTACAGAGTTCCAGAACAGCCAGAAGTACACAGAGAAACCCTGTCTCAAAAAAAAACAAAAAACAAAAAAACAAAAACAAGAAGAGGAGGAGGAGGAGTTATTACTAGGGCTAGAGGGATGATCCAGCAGTTACGAGCACTGGCTATTGTTCCAGAAAACCCAGATTTAATTCCCAGCATTCACATGACAACAACCACCGTAACTCCGTTTCCAAGAGATACAGCACTCTTCTCTGGCCTCCTTGGACATCAGGTACATGCAAGGTGCACAGATATGCCTGTAGGCAAAGCACACCTATACATAAAGTTTTTAAAATATTATTACCATATGATCTGTCGATTCCACTTCAGAATATAGATAGATAGGTAGGTAGACGATAGATAGATGACAGATTATATACATGATTAGATGACAGATAATATAGATGATAGATGATAAAGAGAGATTAGATTGATGATAGATAGATAGATAAATAGATAGATAGATAGATAGATAGATAGATAGATAGATAGATAGATGGGATCACCAAAGAATTGAAGGCAAACTCGAGAGGAGAAATCTATAACCCATGCTAATAGCAGACACTAGTCACAATAGCCAACCAGGGGAGAGCAACCTAAGTTCCCACTGAAAACGGAAGTAGCATATTCATATTATGGTTATTACTGAGCCATAACAAAGAAGAAATATTGGCATATGCCTCAACATGGAGGAACCTACTAGGTGACATCAGCTGTTTGCAGAATGACAGACCCCATATGATTGCACTCCATAAGACAGACAGATGCCTGGAGATGCCGGTTTCACAGAAACAGAAAGCAGGGTGGTGGGCACAGGGGATGGAAGAGAAGAGTGAAGACTCGACATTTGATGAGTCCAGAACAAGACACGTAGAACACTGAGGACAGATGGTGGCCGTGGCTGTGTAGCAGTGTGGATGTGGCTGTGCTCACTTATAGTCCCAGCACTTGGGAGCAGGGAAGAGGATCAGAAATTCAAAGACATCCTCAACTACACAGTGAGGGTTTTTTGTTATTGTTGTTGTTCAGTCTGATCTACCTACACACTTACAAACAATCAACACGGTGCTTTTTTATCTGCTCGTTGCTGCAGCTAAAGCCACGGATAATACAAGGTTTCTCTTGTGCTGAATTTGCTCTCTCTCCCTTTGCTTCCTCATTATGTCTGTGATCAGAAGGCTTTAAATAAGATGATGTCCAACTGTTCGGTGCTTCATCAACATCTCACATCACAATTGTTAGCATCTGCAAAGGGGAGAGTCTTACTCTCCCTGCTGGGACGCAGGCCTTTCTTCTTAGCTGATTGGGTTGGAGACAGGACCTCATGTAGCTCAGTGTGGTCTCGAATTGGCTGCATGACCATGCACACACTACAACTGTCTTATCCTCCTGCCTCTACCTCCCAGGCACTGGGATTCCGGGTGTGCGTGTAACTGTGTTAAAAGGCAGTCTAGGACTGAGGGACGTAGCTCAGGGTTAGAGCATTGAGGCCCTGGATTCCTAATAACAGGGAGAAAAAAAGAAGGCAATAGACCCAGAAAAACGAACTCCAGTTTTCTCGGAATGCCGTGATGCAGCATGTGAAACCTCTGAACAGAGATGAACGCGCTGTAGGGTGAAGCCTTTTCCTCACCAGCCGCTTTGGTTTTTCCCCACCAGTCGCCTGGGCTCTGCTGCGTTGCAGTCACCAAATAACACACAAGACGCTGTATTAATTATGAAGCTGTTGGCTGTTTGCTTGTTTCTTACTGGCTAGCTCTGACTTAAGTATTTACCCCATAATTATTAATCTAAGTATTTCTCTTAGCGGAGAAAAGGGTCCGGACTTCTTACTCCTATGACGGCTACATCGTGGCTCCCTGTGTTTCTCCTTCCCAGAGTCCTCCTGGACTCCTAGTCCCACCTATCTTGCTTCCCTATTGGCCAACGGTGCTTTATTCAACAACCAATAAGGGACAGATTTCAGGATGACATCATCTCCCATCAGCACGCTCCTCCTAGCAGATACTCCTTAATTACTTCCATCGTTGCTGAGTCAAAAGAAGTGGGGAAGGGGATTTTCAGCTCACAGTCCAAGGGCACTCGGTCCACCATGGAGAGGTCACGGTGGCAGGAACTGAGAGCCGTGGACGCCGTGTTCACTCTGGGACCCACTGGGCAGGTCTTCCTACTTGGATTAACCTCAGGTAGATCGTCACAGGCTTGCCCAGAGGTCAGTCTAGATCCCACCAGCTAGACAGCTGAGATTAACTATAACCTGCACTAACTCTGCAAAACTGTATCAGCTGTAAAAATGAGAGTATATTACCAAATTCTCTCCACCATTAGTATTTGAATTCTATTTGGCCCTGTTAATGCCTGTTACTTTCATGTGTTAATTCTTCTCTCTTGATCTTTTGGCCACATAAATCCCTAGCTACTCTCTTTTTGCATTTAAGTGCCACACTAGGAAAAAACTTCCAATAACCAGATTCCACTGGGTCTAGACAAAGCTCAACAGGGGTGGGGTGGAGTTAGAAAGTTTGTAGAGGGGAGGAAGTGAGAGAAAGAGAACATAGGTTCATATATATATATGAAATGTGAATACATACACTCTGGAATAAGAATGAATATATATGTATATGTATAGATATGTAAATTGCATGCTAAACCACAAACATAAAAAATTCTCCATAGTATTTAAACAAGACCCAATATCTAATAGCATAAAATTCATACAAAATTCCAGTCTGTAGCCATAATCCAAGGCTTGATTTGGGCAATAATGTTTCAATTTTTCTTATACTTTTGAGCGAGGGTCAGTAAGATTTTTTTCCCTACAAAGGACTAAACAGTAAGTATTTTAGGCTTTCTGGGTCAGCCTCCATTGCTACCACTCAACTATGCCACGGTGGTGCCAAGAAACCATGGTGTAAAGTATGAGCATATAGCTGTGTTCCAATAAAACCTTTATTTATAGTCATGGAAATTTACATTTTATGCAATTTTACTCGTCATAGTTTGGTTTTCCTTTCATTCTTTTAAAACAGGTTGTTTCCCCCCCCAGAAATTTCATAATGTAAAAAACCATTTTTTGGTCTATAGGGTGGGCAAAAACAATTGATAGAGCATATATGTTAAAAGCAGCACATATCCAGGGCATGGGCATGCATCCCCAGCTTCCGGTCTCAGCACCAGATAAACTGGGTGTGGTAGCATACACGATTGTAATCCAGTTCTGGGATGGTGGGAACAAGAAGACTGGGAGGAACTCAGCCTTATCCTTGTGTGATGGTTTGAAGGAGAATGGTCTCCATAGGCTTGTATGTCAGAGTGCTGGGTCCCTAGGTAGTGGAAGTGCTTTGAGAAGGATTGGGAGGTGTGGCCTTGTTGTAGGGGGTGTGGCCTTGTTGTAGGGGGTGTGGCCTTGTTGTAGGGGGTAGGGCCTTGTTGGAGGAGGTGTGGCCTTGTTGGAGGAGGGATGTCATTAGGAATTGACTCTAAGGTCTCAAAAGCCCCAAACAGGCCTAGTCTCCCTTCTCCTCTCCCTCTCTCTCTCTCTCTGATAATAGTGGGTCACATAGAGGCTTTGGTTGTTGTACCCTCACCATGATGGCCACACACCAACCCCCTGAAACTGTCAGCGAACCCCCAATTGAATGCTTCCTTACGTAAGTTTCCTTGGTCATAGTGTCTCTTCACGGCAATAGAAAATTGACGGCGCCACCTTGGCTACCCAGTGAGTCTGAGGCCCACTCAGGATGTGTGAGACCCTGTGTGAAAACGGAACAGATAGCCACAAAATATGCATCAAAATCCAGCTATCTTTTTCTCTAGAAATTAACACACCACGAGCAAGTGCGTGTCTCGCGGCGTGCACGCAGAGCTTAGGAGGCGGGTTTTATGGAGTTGGTTCTGTCCTTCCACTTTTTGATGGGTTCTCAGGATCAAACTTAAGTCGCCAGGCTCACGCTTCAGGAGCCTTTACTTACCTGCAGAGCCCATCTTGCCCCCCCACTTAAGTCTGTGTGTGTGTGTGTGTTCATACACGTGTAAGTGCATGTGTTTCTGTTCACGTGTGAGTGCAGACACGCATGTGCCGTGGGGCACATGCAGAGGTCAGGGGACAGCCTCGGGTGTTGGACCTTGCCTGGCAGCTTGCTTTGAGACAGGGTGTCCTGTTCTCTGGTGTGTGTGCCAGGCTTGTTGACCGGCAGTGTTCCAGGGGATTCTCCTGTCTCCACCTCCCATCCTGCAGTAGGAGTGCTGGGACCCGAGAGCTTCCATTCTGTTTAAGGCGGTTTCCGGGGAGTCAAACTATATGAGCAGAGGTTTCTGTCCCACCTGGTCCCACAGCCAAATAAACACACAGAGGGTTATATTAATTATAAACTGTTTGGCCAGTGGCTCAGGCTTCTTACTGGCTGGCTCTGTCATAATTATTAACCCATTTCTATTAAACTATGTGGCTTACCTGTAAAGTTCCATGTCCGGCGGCTACATGGCGTCTCCCTGGCCACTCTCCGAGTTTCTCTTCCTAGCCTTCTCCTAGTCTGGCAGCCCTGCCTGGCTGCATCCTGCCTATCCATTGGGTGAAACAGCTTTATTCATCAACCAATAGGAGAAGCATATACTCACAGCATACAGAAGGACGTCCCCCATCAAAGCTCATGTTCTCATGCTTCCGTGGCGAGCATTTTGCAGGCTGACTTTTTTTTTTCTTTCTATTGACAGTGGATTATTTTCTCATGTGCTGACTATGGTTTTCCCTCTCCCAAGTCCTCCCAGTTCCTCCCCACCTCCCTTCCCATCCGGATGCACAGTCTCCTTCTGTCTCTCGTTGGAAAAGAACAGGCTTCTTAGAGATAATAAAATATAACCAAAGAAAATAGAAGATAAAACGATTATATCGAAGTTGGACGAGACAAATAAACAGGAAAAGAGTCTCAGAAGGCTCTGTTCACACACTCAGGGGTCCCCATAAAAAAAAAAAAACCACTAAATTGGAAGCCATAATATGTAACGTGTAGTCTTCCCGCCAGCTGCCTGGGTCCTGTTGCTGCCTTAGCCCCCCAAATAACACAAGAGACACTACATTAATTATGAAGCTGTTGGCCATTTGCTATGGTTTCAAATCTGCCAGCTCTGACTTGTTTGTTTATTAACCCATAATTACTAACATATATTTCTATAAGGACTTATCTTTCCGAAGACGTCATCCTGACCCGCCCTTTCCTCCCCCGAGGTCACATGGCGACGACTCTCGTCACTACGTTTCCCAGAATCCTCCTAGACTCCTGGTCCCACCTACCTTGCTTCCCTATTGGTCCACAGTGATTTATTGACAAATACACAGAAGGGCTTCCCCCATCAATAGCATATCTGCAGAAGACCTGGTGCAGACCCGTGCAGGTCCTGCGCATGCTGTTTCAGTCTCTGTGAGGTCGTGTGAGCTCTGCCCATGCTGACTCAGAGGGCCTTGTTGCCTTGGCCAGCAGGGCACAACGGGTTCGAGCCCACAGGAACCTGGAATGAATGAGACAAGAAACACGAGAGAGATAGACAGCCAGACAGACCTTCCGATCAAGCTGTCGTTTAATGAGAGTTCTGTACAGGCTTAAATAGGGGAAATGAGGTAGGGGGATGCAGGATAATAAGGGAGGGGTCGGTGCCTGGTAATCGGCTGAGGAGTATTCTTGGTCACCTACCCAGGAGTGTGGATTTTTTTTGGTCACGTACCGAGGGGTGCTGGCCAACCACCACTGAGGCTGAGCAGCAGGAATGAAGATATGTTAGTGCTAAGTATCATAATTGCAAGAAGGAGGGTTGAGTAACCTAACTGTAGATTGCTATCAGCTATTCCTGTGAGCCCAGGTTCTATTCATTAGGAAGCTGGGGAGGGGACTATTCTTTAAAAAGACTGACAATACTTACTAGAGGTTTTTTTTTTTTTCTTTTCTTTTTGGTTTTTCGAGACAGGGTTTCTCTGTGGCTTTGGAGGCTGTCCTGGAACTAGCTCTTGTAGACCAGCCTGGCCTCGAACTCACAGAGATCCACCTGCCTCTGCCTCCCAAGTGCTGGGATTAAAAGAGTGCATCACCAACGCCCGGCCACTTACAAGAGGTTTTAAATAACAATGATCGATCCCAACACTTGCTCGCCCAGCTTCCTCCATCCCTTCTGGCTCTTACACTCTTTCTTTCTTTCTGAGCTCTGAGGGGGAGGGATTGGATGGAGACATCCCATTTAGTGTTCGAAGGTCTGTCTGTCTATCTGCCTCCCCCCTCTCTCTCTGCTTAGTATCTGCCTCTGGATTTCTGTATCTGCTCCCGTCTGCATCAGGAGGAAGCGTCTCTGATGATGGCTGAGCAAGGCACCGATCTATGAGTCTATGAGTATATCATAGAATATCATTAGGAGTCACTTTATCACTACTTTCCTCCCCCTTTTTTAAACTAGTAATACTGTTTTTACCCTAGGTCCTTGGGCTATCCAGTCTCTGGTTCTCGGTCACCCAAAGAGTGCCGTGCATGGGTTCCATCTTAGAGAGTGGGTCTTAAGTGAAATCCAGAGTTGGCTGGTTACCCCTATAAGCTTTGTTCCACCGATGCCCAGCATATCTTTCAGGCAGGACAGGTGGTAGAGCAAGGTTTTTGTGGCTGGGTTGGTGTTTATGTTTCCACCTGCAGAGTGCCTTCCTGTATGGGAGACTCTAGAACCTAGGCATGGAGACCATATGGAGGAACCAGCCTGACTGTCTTGTGTTCAATGAGTTGTCTAAGTATTGTCTTCTACAGTGGGGTATCGCTGCCTGCTATTTCTTTGCTGAACACTCTGGGTTTTTCCATGTCTTTCGGGGATCTTCGACTCAAGCTGGCTTCAGCACGCTTTCACAGTGAGCACTTTAAAGGTCTCGCTGCTAATTCTGATGCCTGTATCTTGTCAGTGCTGCATCTTACTGTTGTAGCTGGGAGTTAGCTGGCTCATTTGTACTCTGAGTCATTTTAGGCTGCAACCTGGACTTTTTGATCATACTAGAAGACACAGGGGCCTCTTTAAATGCTGTGGAGAATTTTTTTCTATCTGTGTTTTCGTGTACAAACAACCCATCTGGATTCAGATTTATCTAAAGTGGTTGTTGCCGTTTGAGACAGTCTTATAATAGTTGATGTTGTCCTTGAATCCCAGATCCTTCTCACTCAGCCACCCAAGTGGCTAGGTTACAGGAGTGAACCACCACACCTAGCTAGATAGCGTCCATCCTTCAGGCACCCAGGGCCTCACAGAGATGCCAGGCGAGTAGCAAACCAACCGAGCTATAGCCCTCCTGTGTGTGGTTCCTATGTCAGGGCCATTTTGAAAGTGTGCATTTGGACTCAGAGCCGTCTGCTTTGAGTGCCACCTAGTGGCCGGTGCCGGACCTGGCTGCTGTTTAGGGTCAGAACCAAGTCTGTGTGACTTGGATGTTTACCTAGGCGTGCATGAACTTTCCCAAGGTGTTTCTTTCTGCCATATCCCTGGCACTTTTTAACTCACTGTCAGGTGTGTGTGTGTGTGTGTATGTGTGTGTGTGTGTGTGTGTGTGTGTGTGTGTGTGTGTGTGTGTGTGTGTGTGTGTGTGTATGTGTTGCACCCATGCATGTGTGTTTTGATGTCTGTGTTGTTTGCCTGTTTTCTGCTTAGGAAGCTGGAACTATATATGTACTCTCTTGTATACTTCTCAGAATGCCACTCGTGAGCTGGACAGACAAGAAGGAAAGGCAGCGGACATTTGTCTCCTCTTGAGGTCAGAGCTGGGAAGACAGGTCCTTTTTCTCAGGGTGTTAGATACCTACAGGCTCCTGCTGCTGCTAGGGGTGGGGGTGAGCCAGGGGCTGGAACCCGAGAGAATGGAGAGAAGAAAGAGAAGGAAGTAAACGTGATTTTACCCCAAATTTGCTTTCTAGTTGCTAGAGCCAGGACTTGGTCTTCTGAATGCCTCTCCATGACTGGAGCGGCGTCTGGGTTTAGAGCTACCTCCAGTTCGTGTCTGGGAGAGAGAGGCAAAAACCAAGAAAGCTGAGAACCAAAAGTCCGCAGGCTGCTCTCCAGGCCACAACCGGAACCCAAAGAGAGAGTCTCCTCCCCCTAGCTCTTTTGTCAGCTGTACGTTCAACATACCTGTGACCACACCCAAACAGGTGTGTTCAGAATTATGGGTACATAAGATCTCTCCCTGCAATTGCCCTTTTATTCTAAAGAAAAGACTTAGACTTAAAACAAAACTAAATTGTGCCAATGTACAAAATGTCTCAAACATATATAAAGCGTATGCACATAGACAATGATAAACAAATTATAATCTACCTATATCCTATTGTAAGTGTATCTATCCCATCTAAACCCTAAACTTAATCTGAAAGAGATGCCCATGTCTGAACACCTCCTTCCAATCCCAACCCTAAATAATTGAAAACTAACTCTAACAGGTGTAAATTATCCTTCAATATCAGCAGTAGGGAAAGGGGGGCGTAGTATTCTCAGAATTATTTCCTGCTGAAATGGGTTAGGGTTTAGGGTTAGGGTTAGGGTTAGGGTTTAGGGTTAGGGTTAGGGTTTAGGGTTAGGGTTAGGGTTAGGGTTAGGTGAGTTGTTTCATCCTTTTCTTCATCTGTAACACAGTTATCATAACCATGTCTGGTTCTGTCACCTGTAACACAGTGATTGATAACCATGCCTGGTAATGCCCCGACCCTCAGGATATTCAACGTGGGGGGCGGAGGGCACCTAGGGGAAAGATGAGAACAGGAGATATGAAGAAAGACGCCAAGACAGGATTCTGGTAAAGGCAACAACTATATTCCATCCCAATGGGATTTATATAGGGGAAGGAATGGGGGTGTGCTGCAGCCTCGATGAGCCTGTTGGAGCAAAGGTCAGTGGGATGGGTGGGTCATCCTGTGTCCTCTGGTAACCTAACTGCAGACTCTAACTTTATCTTTCACATTCCACCTTCTATTGTTCAAGCCAAGCCCTAGACTAGGCAGATAAGCCGCAGGTCTGTTTCCTCGGAACTCACCTCCTATCTTAAGAGGTGGTGTTTCAGCAATGTGACCTGGAGTCACATCTTCTCTATGAGGGCATGATAATGCTATAGCTTAATTATGGTGGAGGCCCCCGACAGTCTGGTATTGTCACCTATAACACAGTGATAACCATGCCTGGTATTGTCACCTGTAACACAGTGATTGATAACCATGCCTGGTATTGTTTGGAGGTGTGCAAAGGTAAGGTCTGTGAGGTGCTTAACCCTTAGTTTTGTCTACAGGAGGTCTTATTTGTTTGAGACAGGATCTCAAACATCCTAGCTGACCTGGAACTCGACATGTAGACCAGGATGGCCCCAAACCCACAGAGATCTGCCTGCTTCAGCTTTCCAAGCACTGGGATTAAAGGTGTGTGCCACCATGCCCTGATCAGAGAACATTCGTGAAACTTCCATGATTTTCCATACTGGGTTTCCAGTCTCAAAACACCAGCCTCAATTATTGCTCTAGAAAATCTGAAATAGGGGGATAGAGGGATGGCTCAGCATTAAAGAAAACCTACTTCTCTGTCTTAAACTTGACCTTGGTTCCCAACGTTCACC